TCTTTTTTTCCTGACATGGCCTCAAAAAACAAAACAAAAAAAAAAAAAAAGAAAGAAAGAAAGAGAGAAAAAACAGAAAAGAGTTATTCATGTTCCATCATTTTCCCCAATGTCTCCCCATTATTACCCGTATTTGGTATTCCACAAACTGGTAAATATATAAAAATATTTCACATCATCTTCTCCAATTACCAATTTCATGTTGGTCTCTCCCCTATAAGTTTTACTTTTCAAACATAACAGTTTCTATTTTTTTTTTAAATTTAAACTACACTAATAGAAAATATTATAATTATTAAATAATAGAAAATTATTATTATAAATAAAAATTTCTTTATTTAATTATATATTATTGTGTATTCCAATCCATAAGAAGACACTAGACGCTTTTTGAACTGCAAAGCATAACACCAAACTCCATCAGCAAGCAAAAAACCTTTGGCAAAATAAACTAAGATCTAGTTTCTTATTATCTAATGATGGTCATGATATGGTGAAAGAAATTCAAAGTATTTTCATTTTTCAAAGATTACAAACAAGTCAAAAGGAAAAAAAAAAAAAAAGATAAAAAGAATAAACCCAAGCACAAGGAGCTGTTGTTCATTCTTAGAAAAGAGGTCATGACTATGAAGGAATTAAATAGAAAGAATGTGAAAAGTTTGGAAGATCGAAAGTGATGAGGTAGAAGAAAGTGGGAGTTATTCAGTCTGCAAAATTTTGATTTTGGTCTGTATTTACTCATGGGTATGTGAATTGAAATTAAGAAGTTTAGCAATGGAGGTTTTGTTCTGTAAAGGGGAAAGGAGGTGGAAGATGAGGAAATGGCAAATGGTGTATTTTGTAATTTAAAGCTAAAAGAAGGGTAGTGTAGGTAGTTTAGAAAAAATGTCATGCTATGTCATAAAAAAATGCTTCCACGTCAGGTGCGACATAGGGGCGTAAAAGGGGATCCTATCAACTTGTTTCAACTCAGGATAGCAAGCTTATGGGTTTGGTCTTACTTCACCGTCGAAAAACTAGACAAGGCTTCCACATTAAGTTTCATTTAGTCATAACTCATTTCTTTTTAGGTGTCAAGCAGTGTCAAATCAAAATACCTAACAAGCATTAGCTTTCCTTGAAAAGGAGGCGATCTAGTTGCACCTAGTCACGACTTCACTCCAGTCCCTAGCTCATTGCCACATTAGCAAAAGCTTAGTTAATGGTCATATGAGTTTTTTCGTTAAATTTAGAGGATAACCCCCAAATTTGTCCCTCAAATAGGGGGTAAGATAGATCTGCCCTTTAGATAAGAAATAAAGATATATTTATTTTTTAAAAAAATCTAAGGATAAATTATTTTTTTCAATTATTGGTTAAAACAAATCACTTATTTTTTAATATATGATGTCATTACACATTAATTTTTTATTAAAGAAATACTATGTGGCAAATATAATTTTGATGTTACATATTAAAAAATAAGTGATTTATCTTGATCGATAATTTAAGAAAACAATTAATTCCAACATTTTTTTGAAGGGATAATCTGTCCCTAAACCTTATTTGAGGGGCTGATTTGGGGGTTTTACCAAATTTAAAGCTCTTCATAGATTTTGAAAAGTTGAGGGTGTATACTGTGAGTAAAATTTTATTAGGGTGTTGATTATGAATAACAATAAGTACAAGGCATAAATAGAGAGTGTCACCTTGGAGTTGTTATGTACTAGCACTTTTGATTAGATTTTTTTATTAAAAAACTGTTTTGCAATCTAAATTATATTGGATTACAAAATATGAACCTTTGCATGAGGAGTGGATCTTTAATAGCCCTTATTTTATAGTCCAATTCAATCTGAATTAACATGATTAGTTATTTTTTGGAATGAAAATTAACTCATATATATATGATCTTAGAATCTATTTATATTTTTTAATGGAAGAATCTATTCATATTTAAGTAAGGAGAAATGACCTTATATATCTAGCAATTTTTCTTATTGATATTAAGGAACCAATCAAACTAATTTGTCCACTTCTAATTAAGTCAACAAAAGGGAAATGATTCACATACTCATTAGCTTGACACATGATAGTGCACAGTCCATACAATAAACATTTCACTAAAATCCTAACAATGCAGCCATCCACGAACCTTTGGCCTATTCATGCATCCAAACATATTGTAAAATCAAAATTACAAATTTATGCTTAAAGCTATCTTCTTCCTCACAAAACCCCTTTTTCTTTCTATCTCTCTATCTCTCTCTTCAATAGTTCAACACCAGTTTCTTAACATTCTTTCCCTTCCCCCTTTTTTCTTCCCTCTATTTCTGCCTATTGAAATGAATAAGTTCTTGGCAATACTTGGGTTTGTGAAGAACCTAGGACTTGGAATCATGAAGAACCCTGCCCTTGGGTTCAAATTGAACCTAGCACCTAGGTATGTGATGTACTCATATTTGGATTCAAATCAAACCTAGCACTTCGGTTCATGCTAAGTTCGAGATGAACCCAATATCTGTGTTTAAATCAAACCCAAGAACATTGCTTGTCACCCAAATTTTTCTGGGTTTGTTTGAATCTATAAGTAAATTATCATTGAATTGAATTTTTCTTTGTTTTAGGAGAACAAATTGACTGGAGATTGATGATGATAGCATTGTATGATTTCTTTTGCAAACTTTTTGAATGGAGGGGAGATTCATACATGGGTAATCTGGGTGAAGATTTGATGTAGAGTGCTAGATCTCACTAATTTAAGTGTTTCCAATGGGTGATTGGTGTGGGATAAGTGAGGGATAAGCATATAAAAGGAGACCAGCTTATTTTATTTTTGAAATTGACCATGTGAAAAAAGGTATGGGTTTAATGGGTGTGCCTATCACTATCTCCTAAGCAAAATAGACAGCTCACCAATCAGCTTCTTCTAAGTTCTAATATTGTATATAATTTCTTTGCTTTATTCTTTTTATTAGAAAGAAACATTTCGTGTGCCATGTTTGTTGGGTGAGTGGAAAGGATGGAAAGTTATTATCTCTCCAAAAATGTGAATGACCTAAGAAAAAGAAGTATCTTTATCATAAATGAGTTTTTTTTTTTTTTATAATTTTTACTTTAATCTATACAATGAAAGATTCATTTCATCTCTTAATAAACTTCACTCTCACATATAATATAATTTGAATTCAAAACTTTTTATATTCTATTAAGTAAAAAAAATCACTATACTCCTTAAGTTGTGAATATCATATTATCATTAATGAGCTAAAGAAGAGAATTCGCTATGTTATTACTTATCATCATTGATTCCTTATTTCATTTTTAAATAATAATATTTTTTATATATATTTTGAGAGAGATAAACTTTTTTTTTTTCAAGCTTTAACTTTATTATTATATCTTAAGTTTAATCATTCATTCTACCAAAGAAATTCTCTCTTTATTGTTATTTATTTTTAAGGATAATATTAGTAAAAATATGAAAAAATTATTTAAAAATTTTTAATCTAAAGTTAAAATTAAAAATACAGTAATTAGTAAACTATAAAATAGAGAGAGCATAAATATAAAAGCAAAAGGGCTGCGGGGCGCCAGTTTCCACTAGAGATTGGGGCACTTCCACGCTGCTCTTGAATGAGCACACCTTGCCGGCTAAAAGTATAAAATATAAACCATTTGGGATGTGAGTCATGCCTCATGAGACGATACACTCAAATTATTAATGTTGGCCTCTTTATATTCTTTTATCATATGATGTTAGT